CGGAGCCGGAGCGCGCCCCCGCGCGGCCGGCCCCGGCGGCGGTCGCCGTCGTCGTCGCCGTCGCCGTCGCCGCCGCCGCCGCGGCGGCGCCGCCGCGGGGCGTCCGAGCCCCTCGAGGAGCACGACGCGTACCCCGGCGGCTACGTCGAGCCCCGCCGCGTCTTCGTCGGCGGCGTGCCCAAGGTGACGACGGAGCCGCGGTTCCGCGCGTACTTTGAGCAGTACGGCGCGCTGGCCAAGGTCGAGCTCAACGCGGCGCGGTCCTTCGGCTTCGTCACCTTCGCCGACGCGGCCGCCGTGGACCGGGTCCTGGCGACGCGCATGCACACGTTCTCCCACACGCCGCACAACACGGCCTTCATCGAGGTCCGCCGCCCCAAGCCCCGCCGCTAGGTGCCCGTGGTTTTAACGCGCCGCGTCCGCGCCCGCGCGCGGGGCGCCGGGGGCCGGCGCGGCCTCGACCGCCGCGGCCTCGACCGCCGCGAGGATCGCGCGGCCGGCGTCGTCGTAGGCCAGCGCGCGGGCCGCGGCCAGGACCGTCTCGCCGGCGAGGTCCGCGGACCGCGGCGACGCGCCGGCGCCGAGGAGCGCGGCGACGGCGCCCGCGCGGCCCGCGTGGACGGCCGCGGCGAGCGGCGTCGAGCCGCCGGCGTCGCGCGCGTCGACGGCGCGCGCGGCGCCGAGCAGCGCGCGCGCGAGCGGCCCGCCGCCGTCGAGGAACCCGGCCGCCGCGGCGACGTGGAGCGCCGTGGCGCCGTCGGCGGCCGCGGCGGCGTCCGGGTCCGCGCCGAGCGCGAGCACGTCCGCCGCGGCCTCGCCGTCGCCCGCGAGCAGCGCGCCCTGCAGGGGCGGCCGCGCGCAGCGGCCGCCGGGCGCCGGGTCGTCGGGGCCCGCGCCGAGCAGCGCGCAGCAGACCCATTTGCCGTCGTCGGCCGCGCGCTCGCGCGCCGTCGCGCCGGCCGCGTCTTTGGCGCGCCGGTCCGCGCCCGCGTCGATTAAGTGTGCAACGGCGGCCGCCTCGCCGCGCTTCGCCGCGACGTGGAGCGCCGTGCCGCCGCAGGCCGGGTCCACCGCGTCGATCGCCGCGCCGCCGCGGAGCGCCGCCGCGAGCGCGCCGACGTCGCCCGCGGCGGCCGCCGCCGTGAGCGGCAGGGGCGGCGGCCGCGGCGCGGACGACGCCCGGCGCAGGAGCGCCGCCTGCGCCGCGATGGACGCGCCCGGATCGTCCTTGTCCAGGACGATGGTCGCCATGGGTGCAGGGACGGCTCGGGCGCGAGGCGGGCCAGCCTTTGCTGTGCTAGCCGGTCGCTAAAGTCCAACATGACTCCATGCCTTCAATTTACCTCCATAGTGCATCACACTCGAGGCCAGCCCGGCCGCCGTGGCGGACGCGGCGGCTAGCCTTGGAGTCCCAGTGCCGCAAGGCCTGGTGCCGTACAGCCGCGGCGTTCACAACACGCGCCGCTGCCCGCGCCGCATCGCCGCGCCTCGTCGCCGCGCCGCCGCCCCCGCGCCGCGAACCATGGGCAGCGTCGTCGGACGCGTCTCCGAGGAGACGCCTAAGTTCCACGTCGTGCGCCGCGCGGCGACCTACGAGGTGCGGCGCTACGCCGCGGGCGTCGCCGCGGAGAGCGGCGACGCCGACGGCCGGGCCTTCGGGCACCTGGCCAGGTACATCGGCGTCATGGCGGCGCCGCAGAACGACCGGCGCGAGGCCATCGCCATGACCGCGCCCGTCGTGACCAGCTATCCGACCGGGGCCATGGCCTTCCTGCTGCCGTCGGCGCTCGCGACGGCGCCGAGCCCGACGTCCGACGCGGTCTCGCTGCGGTCGCGGCCCGAGACGACGATGGCCGTCGCCGCGTACGTCGGCGGCTGGGACGAGGCGGACGCCGCGCGGCGCGCGGCCGCGCTCCGGGAGGCCGCCGCCGCGGACGGCCTCGCGGTCGGCGACGGCTGGGAGTGGCGGCGCTTCAACCCGCCCTGGACGCTGCCGTTTCTCAAGACGAACGAGATCTGCGTCCCCCTCGTCGGGGACGGGGGCGGAGGCGGCTAAGAGGGTGGTTCCGATCGCGCCCGTTCATAGGGTGGCGGCGAACGTGGCGCCTTCGAGGGCTGGCGCGCCGGGCGAACGGCGGCGGCTCCTGGACCACAAGGCCCAGCCCGCGTTCGACGGCGACGACGACGGGGCGCCTCCAGGCCGTGTGCGATCGCCCAATCAGCGTCCGTTGCCACAGACTCGGAAGAATAGCGGTGACCTGCTCCCACTGGGGATGGCGATGCATTCTCGACGCGCCGTGTCGCTGCTCCGGCGCGCCGCGCCGTCCGTCGCGCGCCCGATGCATTCTCGCCGCGCCGTGTCGCTGCTCCGGCGCGCCGGCCCGTCCGTCGTGCGCCCGGCGTCGACGCTCCCGCTCCCGGGCGACGGCGCGGGCGGCCGGCTGCGCTTCGACGACGCGCGCCTCGCCTTCGACGGCGTGCCCACGGCGGACCTCGTGCGCGCCCTCTGCGTCTTCCAGGCCTGCGGCGTGGGCCCGCTCGTCGCCCACGGCGAGCGCCTCCTCGCCGCCGCGCGCCGCGTCCTCGGCGACCGCGCCGTCGCCGCCGTCGTCCGGCCGACGTTCTTCGCGCACTTCGTCGCGGGCGAGGACGAGGCCGAGGTCCGCGGCGCCGTCGAGGGCCTGCGGTCGCGCGGCGTTGGCGCCATCCTCGACTACGCCGCCGAGGCCGACGTCGAGGACGCGGCGCCCGGCGCGGCGCCGCCGCCGAGCTCGCGCGTCTACGACTACGCGGGCGAGGCCGCGTGCGACGCCGCGCGCGACATCTTCGCCGGCGCCATCGAGGCCGTCGCCCGCGTCGCGCCCGAGGACGGCTTCGCGGCCATCAAGGTCACGGCGCTGGGCCAGCCCGAGCTCCTCGAGCGCTGGAGCTCGGGGCTCGTGGAGACCGCGCGCCTCTTCGGCGGCGAGCGGCTGCCCACGTCGGACCGCGGCGCCTTCGAGGCGGCCTGGTTCGGCCTCTTCACGGAGAGCGCCGCGTCGCGCGCCGCGGCCGCCGAGACCTTCAACGCGCTCGAGGCCGCGCGCGCGCGCGCGCCGGGCGCGGCGGTGCGCGTCGCGGACGTCATCTCGGTCAAGCGGATGCGCGAGCTGTCGGCGCTCTGCCGCGAGGCGGGCCCCTTCGCGGCCGCGGCGCTCACGGAGGAGGAGGGCGCGCTCGCCGACGCCATGCTCGACCGCCTCGACGGCCTCGCGGCGCTGGCCGCGGCGCGGGGCGTGCGCGTCATGGTCGACGCGGAGCACACGTACTTCCAGCCGGCGATCGACCACATCTGCCTCGAGCTCATGCGCAAGTACAACCGGGGCGGCGGCGCCGTCGTCCACAACACGTACCAGTGCTACCTCACGGCGACGGCCGCGAAGCTCGAGCGCCACGCGGCGCTCGCGAACCGCGAGGGCTGGCACTTCGGGGCCAAGCTCGTCCGCGGCGCGTACCTCCACCTCGAGCGCGCGCGGGCCGCGCGGCTCGGCTACGCGGACCCCGTGCACGCGACCATCGAGGACACGCACGCGTGCTTCGACGCCGCGGTCGCGTTCGCGCTCGCGCGGCCCGACGTCCGGAGCGGCCGGTCCGCCGCGAACGTCCTCGTCGCGTCGCACAACCGGGCCTCCGTCGAGCGCGCGCTCGACGTCATGGCAAACGAGGGCCTCGACGCGCGGACGTCCAAGGTCTACTTCGGCCAGCTCCTGGGCATGGCGGACCACCTCACGTTCACGCTCGGCGCCCACGGCTACCGCGCCTACAAGTACGTCCCCTACGGGAGCTTGTATGAGGTCATGCCCTACCTCTTGCGCCGCGCGCACGAGAACGGCGACCTCCTCTCGTCGAACGTCGCGGGCGAGCGCGCGCTCCTCGTCGGCGAGCTCGCGCGCCGCGCCCGCGCCGCGCTCGGGGTCTAGGGGCTAGACGCCGGCCCTTAGGTTCTCCGTCACGATGTCCCGCTCGTGGGACGGCCGCGTGATGTCGCGGAGCGCGGCCGCGTCGCTCTTCGCCGCCGTGAGCCCGCCGCGCATGAGCGCCTTGCGGTTCCGCCGCGCGCTCTGCCGCGCGTCGATCTGGCGCTGGACCTCGGCCTGGAACTTGGCCTCCTCCTCGTCCGTCGCGGCCGCGGCCTCCTGGTTCGCGGTCAGCGCGTCGCCGAGCGACGCGGCCTTGGACTCCGCGGCCGCGGCGCGCGCGAGGTCCGCCTTGCGCCGCAGGAACGCCGCGCGGCCGTCCTCGCTCGCCGGCGCCGGCGGCTTGGCCTTCGTGGGCACCTCGTCGCGGTAGAAGTTCTCGGCGTAGTCGCTCGTCGCGCGGGCCGCGACGTCCGCGGCGTAGTCGTAGCGCCGCGGCGTCCGCTCCTGCGCGTGCTCGAAGCGGTGCATGAGCGGCTCCTTGACGAGGAGGCGGAAGTAGACGACGGCGAAGTCGACGACGCGCCGCTCGCCCGAGAGGTCGAAGTGGACGAGGTACTTGGACTCGGCGCGGCGGCACGGCCCGGCGGGCCGGCCGACGACCGTGCCCGCGTCGCCGACGTTCTCCAGGCGGAAGCTCGGCACGAAGACGCGCCGCCCCGGGACGACCTCGTCGTACCACGCCGCGCGCGCGTCGCGGTGGTAGTACGCGTCGCGCTCCCGGACCTCGAGCGCGCCCGTCTCCGCGTCCTCCTCGCCCGCGAACTTGTAGACCCCGAGCCCGCGCGCCTCGTCGAGGTGGAACCTGTGTGCAAATCAACCACCGGTTTGGGACGTCTCGAAGCGCGGCCGAAGAGCTTGTGTCGAAACATTCGAATACGCGAACATTGAAGTCGGGTTGAAGATTTGATTTGCACACAGGGTGGAACGTGCCGCGCCACTCGTCGCCGGTCTCGAAGTAGAGCGTGCCCGCGCCGTGGCGCAGGCCTCTGGACCACTCGCCCTCGTAGATCGTCGCGCCCGTGGGCGCGCGGAACTCGCCCCAGCCGCTGGGCACCCAGTCGTCGCCGAGCACGTCGTAGTCCCCAAAGTAGACGCCGCCGGTCGTGACGCACTCGAGCTGGCGGCCGCGCGTCTCGGGGTTCACGTCGAAGAACCGCTTCGTCTTCCGCTCCATCTCGGCCATCGCGGCCCAGCGCGCGGCGACGCGCTCCTCCTCCTCCTGCTTCTTGCGCAGCTCGTCGAGCTCCTCGGCGCGCCGCGCGAGCTCGAGCTCGAGCTCGATCTCCTTCTGCGCGCGCTCCGCCTCCCTGCGCGCCAGGTCCGCCTGGGCCTGGACCGCGGCGGCCGCCTCGGCGCGCTCGCGGCGCAGCAGCTCGGCCATGGGCACGTCCTCCTCCTTCTCCTCCTCGGGCGCCGCGTCCATGGCCGCCAGGAGCTTCGCGTGCACGGACGTGCGCGCCATGGCGACGCGCGGCGGGGGCAGCCCCAGCGCTCGAGCGGCGCGGCACGTTGGCCTGCACGATCCATGCGCGGAAGCCGTGGGAGCCCTGAAGTCGATGGAGCTGCCCGGTGCGTGGGTGGTCCGCGCGCGGCCGGCGGCCGCCGCGGCTGAGCCATTGCTGAGCGGCGTCACCCCCGCGGCCGTTGATGCAGCAGCGCAAGCGGACGCTCACGGACCCCGAGGATAAAGCCGCCGCCGCCAAGATGGACCCGGTCACGGCGAGCCCGCTCCTCGCGCCGTCGGCGGCCATCGCCGAGATCGACGACGACTTCGTCCTGGAGCCGGAGAAGGCGGGCCTGCCGACGGCCCGGAGCTGGTGCGCCTGCGCGACGCTCTCGCTGAGCGTGCTCCTCTGCATGTCGACGTGGCTCTCGTCCTCCGTCGTGCTCCAGTACCTCGTCGACGCCTTCTCCGTGAGCGAGGGCCACGGCAGCTTCTTCACCATCGCGGTGCAGCTCGGCTTCGTCGCGTGCTGCCTCGCCCAGGCGGGCACGCAGCTCCCGGACCGCGCGAACTGCCGCTGGCTCATGTGCCTCGGCGGCCTCCTCGCCGTCGCCGCGAACCTGGCCATGCTCGCGTGCCGCGCGTTCTGGCAGGCGCTGCTCGCGCGCTTCGCGACGGGCGTGGCCATGGCGCTCGTCTACCCGCCGGCGACGAAGGTTCTGGCGACGTGGTTCGTCGCGAAGCGGGGCCTGGCCATGAGCTTCCTCGTGGGCGCCATCGCGCCCGGCAGCGGCCTCGCGAACCTCGTCAAGGCCGTGCCGGGCTCCGCGGAGCTCTGGGCGACGCGGCGCGGCTTCGTGCTGCTGACCCTCGCGACGAGCGGCGCGACGGTCGTCGGCGCGGCGCTGCCCGTGCTCTTCGTCGCCGACGGGCCCTTCGCGCTGCCGCCGTCGACGTTCAAGGTGGAGAACCTCGCGCGCATCGCGGGCAACAAGAAGGCCGTGCTGGCCATCCTGGGCTACATGGGCCACTCCTGGGAGCTCTACGGCGCCTGGTCCTGGCTCCCGCACTTCCTCGGGTCCGAGGTCTTCGAGCCCCAGGCCGCGGCGCTCCTGAGCTTCGCGGCGATCGCCGTCGGCGCCGTGTCCTGCGTCGCCCTGGGCGACTGCGGCGACAGGTACGGCCGCTGCAAGATGTGCGTCGCCTGCTCGCTCGTCTCCCTCGCCTGCGACGCGAGCGTCGGCGCCGTCGGCGAGAGCGCGCCGGGGTGGGCGACGGCCGTCCTCGTCGTCGCCTGGGGCTTCTTCCTCGTGCCGGACAGCCCCCAGTACACGACGTCGGTCACGGAGCTCGTCGAGCCGGAGCTCGTCGGCACGGCGCTCGTCGTCAACCAGGCGCTCGGCTTCGTCGCGACGATCCCGGCCATCTTCCTCGTGAACCAGGTCGCGGGCGTCGGCGCCATCGGCTGGCGCTTCGCCTTCGCGTCGCTCGCGCCGGGCGCCCTGCTCGCCGTCGCCTTCATGGAGCGGCTCGACCGCCTCGCGGCGCCCAAGGCCGCGGCCCTCGCGCCCGACTCGGACGACCGGCGCTTCGTCGCGGCGGCCTAGGCGCGCCGCCGGGACCCGCCCCCGCGTCGTCGCCGGACCCGCCGCCCGCGCCGCCGCTCCGCTTTCCCCCGACCCGTCGCTCCGCGTTCCCCCGGCCCGTCGCTCCGCGTTCCCCCGACCCGTCGCTCCGCGTTCCCCCGACCCGTCGCTCCACGCGGCCTCGCCGAGGCCACGCCGTCCCGCCCCCGACCCGTCGCTCTGTGGCACGTTGGCCTGCACGATCCATGCGCGGAAGTCAGAGGGGGCCGACCACCAGGCATACACCAGCCGGGCATACACCGGCATAGCAGCCGCATAGCAGCCGCATAGCGGAAGCGCGAGGCGCCGAATTAGGATTTTATTTTGGTTTCGGCACTGCTATAAGGTCGGCGCTCGAGTTGTATGGGGCCATGTCCATGTTTGGGGCCATGTTTGAGCGCACCATAGCTTCGGCCGAGCAGCATCGTCGGCGACGGCCGGCCGTCGCTCCGCGCGCTCGGCCGCGCGGCGCGGTCGTCGGACGTGCCCCTGCACGAGCGCCTCTTCGTCGAGGTCCCCGAGGACGTCTTCTCGCACGTCCTCCTGTTCTGGCGCAGCGATCGCGACTACTAAGTAGTAGGGGTCCGCCTCCGACAGGCCACAGACCGCCGCGCCGTTGCCGAGTCCAAACCTCCACAGGCTCGAGTGCGCGGCTCGCCTCGGCCTGCTAGGCTAGGAGAGGTTAACAGCTAGAGGGCCTCCCCGGGGGGGTTTGCGGCACCAGGCCTTGCGGCACTGGGACTCCAAGCCTAGCCGCGGCTGAACACGAGCAGCCGGGCTGGCATCTAGCTCCTGCATTTGAGGCGGGGGCGCTTAGAATCTGCACTCGAAGGGCGGACCTGTATCTTGAGAAAATCGATGGCAAAGAGGGCTCTGGCAATGGTGAGGGGCTACTTTGGCATGCTCGTTCTCGGCGCCATGGCCACCGATTCCTTTGGTTCTTGTTGCATCTGAAAGGGCTCAATGTCGTCTTGCGCGCAAGGCCAATAACTAAAAAAGTTCAACAGCCTAAAAAAGTGCGGATTCAACACGCCCCCGCCTCATTTAACTGCATGCGGCTCTTGACGACGCGACGGGTTGACGACCGCGGACGCCGCTCCCGAGAACGCGCCGGCGAGGACGCTGTGCCAGGGCCGCGGCGCGCCGGAGGAGCGGCGGAGCTCGTCCCTGGCGAGGTCGTAGGTGAGGAAGCGCACGGCGAGGCCGCTGGCCTGGCGCGCCATCGTCGGCGCCGTGCCGCGCCAGAGGCCCAGCGGGAACTCGTTCGCGACGATGCGGCCGTGGACGCCTCCGCCGCCGCCGGCGAGCGGCGACGCCGCCGGCGCGGCGGCCAAGGCCCGGCTCGCGGGCCTGCTCGGCCGGCGCCTGCGGTTCACGCTCTCCGACGACCGCGTGCGCCCGCCGGCGTCGCCGCGGCGTCGCCGCGCGCGCGCGGCGACGGCGCGCGCCGCAGGTCGTCGTGGGCGTCTTCCAGTGCATGGACCGGCTCCGGAACTTCATCGTCACGGACGCGCGCGGCGCCGGCGTCCCTCGCCCCGGTCCGCCGCCGGCCGCGCGCGGCCCGTCGGCCGCGACGCCGTCGCGCGGCGCGCGCGCCGCCGCCGCGGCGCCGCGCGCGCGAGCGGACGCGCGTCGACGCGGCGCGCGCCGGTGCAGGCTCGAGACGCGGCCGTTCGCGCTGACCCGGGACGGCGTCGACGTCGTCGAGGAGCGGCGGCGGAGCCTCGGCTCCGTGCTCGTGCCGGGGAAGCACCTCGTCCGCGTCGAGGCGAGCGCGGCGGACGCCGCGGCCGACCCCAGCGGCGCGCTCGCGGCCATGGCCGTCTAACGTCGGGGTCGCGGCCCGCTCGCCCCGGGGGCGCGGGCGCCGGGTCA